TCTGTACCGCTTAAAACTTTTCGCTGACATCCTGATAGATAACTGAGTAATTGCGGCTTCCCTGCCGTTATCATCATCAGCGTTTGTGAGAGCAGGAGATTTTTTCCGTAATTCTCAAGGATTTCCATATCCGGTGAAGTTTTTAGCATTCGCCCTTACAGATTTCGCTATCGTCCGAAGCTTTATGGAGTCATTTCTATGAATTTCTTTGTGAACCTGAAGTTTTCGCCGCCATCCTGCCAAATTGATGGAAGGCGCGAAATATTGCATACTGACTTCAAAACGCGACATATGACGCAAAGTTTTCGATCTGATTTTCACTCATAGTTGTTGAGAACAACGTTCTTTCGTCAATGATTTACGCATTGTCTTATGGCTCGAAATTATTGGCCATTTTTGTTTCGCATTTCTGTGAGTGGTTAATTTTGGTCCTCTAACTTTGTTACATCAGTAAGTGAAGCGAATCTTCCTCACCTCACTGTAACGGACTTTGCTGTGATTGGAAGTTTTTCCACTGTTACTCCTATCAACATTCAAATTTTACCATTGTATTCGTGTCCTCTTTATACGTAGTCTTATTAAAGTCGCCAGCGCATTATATTCATTTTTGCCTTCTTATGTCTTTAATAACTGAAAATTAATGAATAGAATGGGAGAAAAGAAGAAGTAAAATATTCGCAGTTTCTTTGCTCAAAGTAAATAACAGTCAATATCATTTCTTTTATATGTCGAACCTTCCTAAGAAATTACTTACTAGTATTAAATTACTAAAGTTATCAAGTTCTTCGTAATTTGAATAATGTGCAGTTGTTGATTAGAATGTTTTCTGTGTCTTATACCGTTGGCTTGTTTTTTTTTGAATGATTCGTATCTTACTTTTGTAGCATGTCAGACTCTTATCTTCCATTACTATTTGTGTTTGTCTTTTTTTTTCGTGTTTTTATAACTTCTGATCAAATAAGTACTCTATGAGAAGGACTGTACACAACAACAATAAAACATTCACTGAAAGATAAGACGATGAGTGACAACAAAGAAGTAAAAAAAACTCATAGTTATTCAATGATATTCATTTCATATGGAGTGCACAAATCGATATTGATTTCTGTATAATGTGACGTGATTGAAATCGTTCAAAATTAGACAATGACTAGTAAGAAGACATTTCATTGCATCTCCATTCGATAATTCGATTGCTGATAGTTAAAAGAGCACAATTGTTCTAGAAAGATGTTGTTGCATTTAATTTCATGTTGAAATAAATAAAACTTAAATTATCAGGAACACAAGACAATTTTCCTTTCAGACAATACAAAAGTTGATAATTTTTACTTTAATTCATTTTTCAATTTAAATAGATATTTTATATGATTTAACGTCTCATCTTATTTCTCAATAAACAAGAGGAAAAAGAATAACATTTAGCTTGTTCATTTGAACTTGAACTTCAAAAATATTTACATGCAAAAAGAAATATTTTGAACAAAGATTGGTTTATTTTTTTATCTAAATCTTATGAGAAAAACCAATCTTTTAAGATAGTCTAATATAAATTTAAAAATCGAAATGGCGGGTGTGGATGTGGGGTGTGGGTTTAAACAAAAACTTCAGACACCCACACCCACGCCCGCACATCCAAGAAAAACAAGAAATTCTGAAATTTTCACATGCAGGGAAGAGAAATACTGAAACTTTCACATTGAGTATATATCTGCTTATTCTAGGGAGGAAGAAGAGTCAAAAGAGTCAAAAAGTGGGAATATGAGCCTTCAGTTTACCAATACTCTTAGACTCAGATATGATTAACCATAATACTTCCGGTAAGAAGTATACGCAACGTTTTCATAAAATATATCATCATGAAAAATTTGATTTTATTATTTTTTTGTGCTATTTATAAAGGCAGATTATTCACCGATACACTTCATTTCTCTTCTCTTCTTTTCTCAACATAATTTATTCATAATGTTGACCTTGACAAACTGTGTTTTTCTTTCTTTTTCCTTGTGCGACTAGTATATAAGCATGTGTTCGTATTAATATTGATACAACTGGAGTGATGAAGTAGTTCAAATAAATATCATTATCGACAGTAGTAATAGAGTTATTCCTCGGGTTCGTCACACTAAATAAATTGTCGTTCGTTCAATAATATCAGCATTAAGTGGTAAGTACTGAAAAGGAAAAATTTGTGAGAAGAATTTTCAACAATTAATATTCTTTATCATATCCTTGCAAGTTTCGATCAAAAAGGATTAAGTGTTCTTTATTTATCGAAAGTAAACGTAAGTGAATGATAAGAATCCAGAGTTTGTCTTTCTTACATTTACATTTATTCATATATTTACGGCGAATCATTGAAAGTAAAGTTCTGGATTCAACTAACGAGGGAAGCTTCCCAACTGTTCAATCGCTGTTGAGTCGAAACCATGTGCATCATGTAGGTCCTAATGAGCTATGAATACCCTGAAAAGAGTTCGAGCTGCTAACTTATTACTGTCGAGATACTACATTTTTACGATTTTGTTAAGCAGAATGCCGTGGTTCCCCTCAGAAGTACCAGGAAACCTGAGTTTTGAATTTCGACTTCAAATTTGGCACAGAAATAGACCTCAATGAGAGTAGCTGATTGTGAAAGTTTCAAGTTTTTTGGTTGTTCCTATTCTGAACTAAGAACATCGGAATCTGTCGGAGGTATATAAGCAGTGTAAAAACACCATTTTTAGCTGTATCTTAGGATAGGAATGACCAAAAGGCCTGAAACTTCCACAATAAACTACTCTCACTGAGGTCTGTTTCTGTGCAAAGTTTGAAATCAAAATTTAAAATTCAGTTTTTCTGGTTCCCGAGGGAGACCACGGCATTGTGCTTAATTAAAAATACCATAAAAATATAGTATCTCAACAATAATAAGCTAGCAGCCCGAACTCTTTTCCGGGTATTCATAGCTCATTAGGACCTACATGATGCACATGGTTCCGACACAAAAGCGATTGAACAGTTGAGGACTTTCCTCGTAAGTGCTATTAATTCAATATTCAATATGAGACGTCAGTCAATAATATGACACTGTTACGTTTTCATCAGACTTAAAATGTTATTGAATCAAATACAATACTTCATTACATGTAAAGAATAAAAAGAAAATTTTCTCACAAAAATATATACAAATGTTGAATGCCAACAACAATGTATAAGCATATCGTTTAGAAGCCAGTCTCTATCCTCATGTGATATCGATCAAATAAAATCTATTTATTATTGTTTAAACAATTGTCTAAAAACTATCTGAATAATGGCTCTTTAGAATAAAATTCCTTCCAGTAGAATTATCTATTATCAGACAATCAATGACTTCAATATATTTTTTATGGAAGATTGATAAACTTTCTATGATTATAAAAAAAAGAGCAGGTTAAAGTAGCAGATCATTTATATTTTGAATAATAAAAAGATGTGATGACTTCAAAATAGGATACTCTGGATTATTGCTTCAATACTTGATAAGGTAATAGAAGTTCAAAATAGAAGATTCTTGATTATTGATACAGTACTTGATATAGATTCAACGGTAGATTGCTTTCGGGGTATCTCGACTTGCTTCCCACACGGTTGTTGAGATCTGTGCTTCGCTTCTTGCTTTATTATAGCTTGTTGAATATGCATTGATAGACCAGGATTGACACTCAAAGCATACGGCAATAAGGTTTTCTGTATTTCTTCAAAATCAACTATAATTTTGATGAACATTGTGTCGTCTCGGACATATGAATTTCCTTCCTATCTAATCATATCCAATGGGAAAAATTTAGGTATTTCACTGGGCTATATTCATATCCGATCGAGGTCGTTGAAAACTATTCGACCTTATGTCTGGTCGAAATGAATCGATAATATGTCGTTGTGCAGGTGTTTGATCGTATAAACAAACTGAGACTTTGTAGTTGAATCATCACCATTTAAATAGAGACGAGCTCTCATTTTATAGCTAGTAGGTGATGAATAGACTGGAGGTGAATATAAATTGATGTTTGCCTTTCAGATTGTGCATCAACTAGAAATTAAGCTTAAACCATTGTCAGTGCAGTCTCTTTGAAGCAAAATATGGAAAACTCATATGTTTTTTTTTCAGCTTCATTACATTAATGTCAAATAGGTCAAGTAAATCTTGAATATAATCGGAAATCTGCATAAAAATTAGAAAAATTGCACGATCTAGAATACTCAGAAAAGTATTGACACCATTACAATTTCAAGTAAAATTTTGAAATATTCTCGAACAATCTAAGTCTTATTGTTAATGCCAATCAATATCTTTTTTTTCTTACTAAGAAATTATAGGAAAGAAGTCTGCTGTCTTGGATTGCTTTGGAAACGTATTCACTAATCATAATTTCGGTTGCAAAAGTCTATTGCGAGCACCTTTGCCAGCATTGCTATGACCGTCAGAAGCGTTAAAAATCATCGACCAATACTCTCATTGTCACCCATTGATCCGGGTTACTACTTTAGGATTCGGATGTTCGAGCGAAAAACCTTGCTATACAACTTAAACTCACTATTTTCCTTAGTAAAATATATGAGTTCCACAAAAAATCGGTGAAGAAGAGTAGCTGCAAGTATAAAGAAATTTAGCCGACCGATAGAATTGATAATTGCTTCCATCAATTCATCAATAGCTTACTCATTCATTATATCCATGCGTGACAATATACTATGTTGAATGTAACATTGAATCGTTTATGTGTTATTCAATAATGTTATAGAAAACGAAGAACATCTTTTTCTTTGATTATCTTGTCGATAGCATATTTTGATTTCTATCTTCAAGCATAAGACTAATTGTTCAAGTTAGTTATTTTCTCATGAAAGTTTTTTATTTTCCAAACTAATGTTTCACCATATGAAACATATTGCAAATCATTGATTTTTTCTTGCAAGGATGCAAAGTCTTGATTCTGTTTCACTCCCTGCAAAAATGCATTTGATTCTTCAACAGATTATTTTAATTTCGATGATTCTTCTTTCAATATTGTAAGTGTAATTTGCATTTGGAATGATTCATTACTTAGACGTTGTTCATTATTGACCAATGCTTCGATGTCACCTGCCAAGATATGCAACATTTCATGAACTTCTTCAAATTGAGCTGTAGCAGGAATACAAGCTCCTGCAGTTGTTGTTCGAGGAAGATCAATATTCATTTGTCTATCATTGAATTTTGATGAAATTTGACGAATAAGTTTAAATATGGCCTGTTGATGCTGTTCAATCAAATAATGATTCTCCTTTTTGGCACGAATAAACTTAAGAACATGAATTTTTCGATATTAAATGCATCTAAAAAATACTCATACTCGTTCATTACTGTCAAGGCCTTTCAATATACATTCAACCACCAATTTTGAATATTCGAAGATTTTATGTTCATTGAATTTATCAACTGAGTTGAAATGTTCACCACAATATTCACAGTTTAGATTTGAATGAAATTGATCAAGATGTTTCTTTGAAACAAGAAAAGATAGAAGATTTCATTTCATTTGTGAAACCTTGATCAAGCATCATCTGCACAGAAGAAATATATTTTCTCTTTGATTATGAAAGGATATTTTTCTTCATTCGTGATGTTTCTGCTTGACATTGGCGATATTTAATTGTCGTTCTTGAAAAAGAACAATGAAGAATAATACTAATACTTCAAATGGATAATGAAACTTACTCTTGTCCAGCATTTAAACATGTTTGACATAGTCGATGACCACATTCAGTCAATTGTACAGGCTCTCGTAATATCAATGAACATACAGGACAAATATATTTTCTATCAAGCATATGTTTATTTCTTGTATTGATGTCTACCATTATTTTAATTATTTTTTGTTAGTCAATATATAAATAAAAAAATATTTTTGGAAACTGTGAAAACTAATTAAAGTGGATTGGTATCTTAATAAGTGATCAAAGAATGATTATCCTTCGATTTAAACGATTTTGTGATTAAAATATTTAAAATTGAAAAAGTCATATTAAAATATGTAAGGATTTCAAATTTTCAAAGTAACAAAATAGCGAAGGCTTCGAAATATGATCCATTCACTTTTATTAGATCAAGTCTTGAATTCATTGTAAATATGTTGATGAAATTTTGATTGTAAATGATATTATCATTGATGAAGATCAATTGAACGTGAAGAGGCACATCACGGACTTTCTTTAAATTCAGTTGAGTTATATTTTAAATATGATTGAATATACACGCTTATTCAAACTATGACAATGATTTATATTTTGACTTACTTCATAATAACATTACTTATATTGAGATTTTTTCCATATCTATTTAGAACAGGATGACTGTGGGTGTGCGTGTGCGTATTGGTATGAATCGGTGAAGAAAAGATTCACACCCACACTCTTGATGAATATAAAGCTTTAAATCATTTAGTTTTTCATGAAATACTCGTTAGCATATGGTCGGATCCTCTATCAGAAATAGGCAGTGAAACACGAAACTTATACTCGTAACAATCAATTTTAAATATTTGTAGTTCGTTTTTATATACGCAATAGACGCACAAAACTTTTTCTCTAAATAATCAATTTTTATTTGAGATGATGACGGCAGAAGAACGACAAAAACATGGAAGTTACCCGACTGTTAACTGTTGGAAAATTTCCCGAATCAATCATAGGATGAAAATCTGCGTGTTTTATAAGCATCCACCTATTTTTGGAATAATCATTTTAGTAAAAAAACAACAAGGAAATAAAAAAATTAACAAAAATATTTTTATTACACATATAGATTCTCACGTATGAGTTCGAAATAGTTTTTTTTTACTAGGTATGTGTATGGGAATGTAGATGACTGTCAGAAAAGGCAAAACCAACACTAAAACCCAAAATTAAACTTAGACAGATTTCGTTTTTAATTAGGCACAAACATTCAGAATAATTTTTTTTTTCATTTAAAAATTCTCATTTTTGTTTACATTAAGAAAACATACCATGTATCTATTTTTTTTTGATTAGACAGAATATTCATTTTCACTTATTTATACTGTAATGTATGCACCAATGACTTCTTCTGCATCGACATCGAAAATGTTTTTCGAACAGCGGTGTAATCAGGATTTTTAGGCCAATGAGGAAACTTCTCTTGTGTCGAAAAAAACCGATGGGCGAAATAGGCAAAGTTGAGTGTGGGTGTAGACTGAGAGACGATCCACACCCACACCCACATTAGAGATATTCCATAGGAACTCAACCACAAAATACACAAGTATTTTTAAATCGATGAAACTTTCAAGATTTGTAAGCCATAGTGAGCTATTAAGATCTCCAACATCAATTTTTTAAATTTCATTAATAAATAGGAACATGTCGAGTAGAACATTTTTTATGATTTTTATGTATAATCACGCAAATTAGATTTGAGGGTGAGGATCCAGGTGAGAATGATAGCTTTTTTAGATGAAACTGAGTGTTAATAATGAATACCTATTTAGTAATACTTGTTTATTGAGTACTCGAGATTAAATAAACATCGAAAAAATTCCAAATAACATCCGAAAAGATTAGGAATTATATTGATAATGAGTCAATTTCATACGCTTGTGACCAGTTTTCATTTCTGCTGGCTTATCGGTATTCTTCTCGAACGTTATCTGAAGTGATTGATGATTGTCACTTATGGTAAACTGTCGTTCTTTTTCAATGAGCTGTTGAGTCATTTCCATGAAGAAATTTGATGACATTGGATGTTGTACAAATGTGACACTGGTCAAATGATTGACACGTTCGAGAACTAATTTCCTACAGTCAATACTCTTCGGTTTTAGTTTTCAATGGTCTATTTAAAAGGATACTATAGAACATATTCCGTTCATCAATGGCGCCAAATTATTATCATAGGATAGACCGAGAGTGCGAACATTGCATGCTTGTTTGAGCAAAATATTGATCGTGCGAATGCAAAAAGGACGATTTTTTGAGACGAGCAACCAGATTTCATCAAGTTGTGAAAGATCGATAAATAACGGAAGACAGTCGAATGCATGAGACCACCATTTACCACCGATGTCTACTGCCAGTTGAGAGATATGACGAATCGGGTGACTGGGTGGTAGAAACTAAAATAACAGATAGAAATGCAGTGTTTTCATGTTTTGATTCAGTTCAATCTGATTCCTACCAAAACTATGTTCCCTGAAGATTCGGATAGACTAAGATTATTTCTGCCTTTTCACCCTTTCATGTTTGCGAATCATTTTTACTTAATAGCTATGAGAAGTTGTCAAAATCATGCATCATTCTTTCTACTTAAGACGTAGATTCCTATCCAATGATCAGAGAGAGAGAAAGAGAACTTTCTACGGAAGGAAATCGATATATAATTTAAAAAACAGACAAAATGAAGTGTCGTTGAAACGATTAAAAATACCTTCTTTGAACAAACGCTGCTGCCATTCGAGCCAAATCGGAACGAACATACCATTTACTGCTCATATTTGCTGCATTATCATCTTTTGTAGTAAAAGTAAAGTATGATAAAATATTTTCTCGGGTATTGAAAGGAAATTCATTCTATGTTCCTTCAGATGAATAGAGAATAAGACCAGAATTTGATACATTATCGGTAATTAATTGACAGGTGATAAACCAACGTTTATCCTCTAACCAGAATGGTGTACGAAAAGCAGTGAGAATCGACTCAATAGCTTCAAATTGATACTCACAAATATTAATGACAAACTTAAATTTTTCAAGTAAACAAAGTTTTTGACAAAGAAATATTTCCCATTGAGAGAAACGTTGGAGGAAATTGAATGACACTTGTCGATTAGTCTTTACATCGAGATGAACAAGTGAGGGTGTCAGCAAAAGAAGCAATTCAAGTTGATCAATTGACATACTTGCATTTCTCAGTGTCAACGAAGTCAATCGAAGATCTGGTTTTGAAAAGATCGTTTTGAATAGTTTCATTGATATAACAATCACTCAATGAAAATGTTTGAAGATTTAATAAATGATAAAGAATAGAACAAAATTGTTGATAAAAACACTCTCTA